TTTAGTTAAGTTTTGTGTAAGTGATTGACGAAAAAGGTTATTTTACATATAAATTTTTGAAAAACATTGTAAAAGAAAACATGCACTTTTTTTGTTAAAATCAAAATATCATGCACAGAATATTTATAAGCTGCCCACGGTGATGTATATGCAAAATTCTCCCTAAAACCATTATCATCCAGACTAGTAATGATATCCAAACCTATATAGAACAATTATAGCATTCTACCTAATTTGGAATTGGAATTAGAACTTTTTTTAATTTCAAATCATATCCTAAACCCAAAAGCCTATCCCAAACCTAAAAGCCTATTCCAAACCCAAAAGCCTATCCCAAATCCAAAAGCTTATTCCAAATGCTGTAATTGTAGGGGTCTGCAAATACCAGGTATAGTATACACTATTAAAATATAGTATCTGTACCATGTTTAACATTATTAATATACTTAATATATAATATCCCTATATGATGATTTCTTTTATATCTTATGTATATAAAATTAATCAATTAATCGCAAATATAAATATATTCAGATATAAATATACTCAATAAATAAAATTCTATGTATATTCGTATTGTATTTCTTTTTGTGAAATCATTATTTTTGTATGTTTTATGAAATCCTTTTTAAACATAATAATTATTTTATTTAGATAAAGCATATATGAGAAAATGAGATTTAACAAGATCACATCTATTAAGACAATTACAATAACAAAGTTTCTAGGTAAATATCGTATATTCATTATACTATTAGAAATTACTGTCTAGCATTATATGTAATTCCAGGGTCTTATTCAAGAACTCCATTTTTTAAATTGAATAGCACTCACATGAACTGGTACTATGAAGTAATAAATTGAATATACCGTAAAGTACCATATGATAGATCTCTATGAGTTGTACCTGGAGATATTCTGTGAATAAGAATTCTATTTATATCTAGATACTATTTATATTATATATCAAATAATAGTATCTTTATACTTTGAAGAATATCTAAATATTGGACTAGTAAAGTTGAATAAGAAATATACAGCTAGTATATCTCCAGTTTTTGTAAATATCCAGATTGGTACTTTACAGTAGTTATATCTGGGTATTAATATCAGGTCTTATTCATAGGAGTACTATTTGTTAGTAGTACTTTATATAGTAAATATGAATTTATTAGAGCTTAAACTAAAATTTTTAAACTTTTACATCATCTTAATTCTTAAAATTCTTCAACGAAAATATTTGTAATTGGCGTAGTTAATATATAAGCAAATAATTTATTATTAGCAAAACTTTTACTAAAAACACATTACTATAAATATCAAACTTAACTAAATATACTTTGATAGAAATATAATTATATTAATTATAATCTAATAATCTACTATATCAGAAGAGTAAAATAGTGATAGTACAAAAATTTGGTGGTTCTGTGATTTTTATTCTAAGATATGAAGTGAAGAAATAAGCAAAAAATTTAGATATATTCATTCTACTTTATATTTAGAAAAAATCTTATTAATAAATATATCTAATTTAAAAATAATATTCTTGCAGTTATTAATTTATAAACAATTAAATTAATATATTTTACAATAATTACAGGAATTTCTCTAAGTATACTCTATAGTAACTAAACTTTTATAATGTGCATTTATAATATTAAGTATATATTTGAGCCAAATTTATATATTTATTTAGAAAAATTATATGTTTAGAGAAAGTATATTTAAAAAAGTTTTTTTGCATTATAAATAAATACCAATTAAAAAGCTTATATATTAAAATTAACCACTGTAAATAAAAAAAATACTTTTTATATAAACAAATAGCAAGAGTAAAAGTTATTAAATTCTAATTATAGAGCTATAATTTGATATTTGTACTAATTATGGTTGATAATAATTAATTAAAAAAGTTAATGAATTAAGAGTTTGCATATTGTTATATACTTTTATCCTTATATATACAGAGAAATCTTTCTACATATGTATATTTTCTTTAAATACACAACCTATCTAAATACACTTTTAACTTCTGGCTTGAATATATACTTGATTTTTATAAACATATTTTTTCATATTGTTTTCTAAATATATATTGTAAAGTTTACTCTCTATAAAGTATAATTAGGAGGTTATACTATACTAACCTTTTTTTTCGAAGAATGCAAATAATTATATTATATATTAAGCTATGTTTATCTTATTATTATTTGCAACTTCTTAGCATATCATGGAGCTAGATTTATCAAATGATGATATCACTGAAATATTGACTACTAGTCAAGCAGAAACTACTCAAAATGCCAAATAAAATTCAAAATAAAAAAACAAAAAGCTAAAAGAACAAATAAAGATGGGCACCTACCTGCTGATATATGGAATAAATTTAAACATAGAAAGCCTTATAGTAAAGGTCATTATGGAGCGATTTGTCAATATTGTACTCAAGGAAAATAGCAACATGAAAAGCCTGCTATTTATATTACAGAGGGGTTAAACGGGTAACACTCATAGTTGGGTTACAGGTACGGTATCTAGTGTAGAACCTGTATGATGTACAGGCAGACTACTTAAATTAGACACCAA